GGGCCTGGGGGGGGCTGAGGCGGGCGGCAGGATGCTACAGCCTCCGTCGGGCCTCTTGTGTGCGTTGAGGGGCCGGGGCGGGGGAACAGGAGGCTGGCGCCGGCCCCTGTGTTTCAGTGGAGGCTGGGGGAGGCTGCTGAAGTTTACCAATTGAGTAGGGCCCTGTAGGCCTTGTCGTCCTTCCCTCGCCCGACACTGAAAATGGCGCCGGGTGACTCCTTGTGAGGTACATATTCCCCACAGTGGTGGTGTGGGCGGGACCCGGGCTTAGCATTCTGATTTGTCGGCAGATATAGTAAGTGGCAGGCCCATCGGCCTAACACTAAAGAGGCGCATTTTAGAACTTTGGCACCCACTACTCAATTATATATAAGGAGAGATGGAATTAGAGAATGCTAACAAATATTAGAGAATAATGAAGCGATGGATTAGGTGTAGCAACAAACTGTAACAAGTCTCTTGGTTTATATGTTGTTTGTTGTAGTGGTTTATGTCTGTGTTTAGGATTATAAGAAAATAATAAATATGTACCTTCGGGTACTTTAAAAATATATATATTGTAACTTAGCCTCTGCTTTTGAGACCGTACATCAAACTTGTAGATTACAAATTTACAACCTGAGATCTGGTACAAATCAGCAGCTAAGAAACATTGTTACAGATCAGGAAGTCTCTAGTATGGATCAGGCCTTTGACACAAGCTCACAAGGCTACCTTAGGGAAGTTTCTCTCGGCCCCTTCCTCACAATCCGTAATAAGGGGACAGTAGCATGTTACCGTCCTTAACCACTTCTGTGTAAAGAACTGAATGGACCTGAATGGACTTTGAAGTGTGCATCTTTTGAGCTTGTTCAGATCTTGCTGCCCATTTTTATTTTGTCTGCTTGGATCCTGTTGACAAACCACGTTCCATGCTGAGAACGTTTTCCATTAAGTTTACTGACTGCTGCTTTGGTTGCTTTAATGCTAATTTCCCAGCAATGCTGTTCTTGCCTTTTACTGCATAGACTGATTTATGCTGTTAGCTGACTCAGGGGACAGACACTGGTTAATAGCCAGGTGAGGTGGCGGCGGAATATGCCGTCAAATCACAGCCGACTCCTGGTGCTCCTGTAGGGTTTTCCAAGGCCAGAGACAAACGAGGTGGCTTCCCATTGTCTGCCTCAGCATAGCCACTCTGTACCTCCTTGGTGGTCTCCCACCCAAGTACTCACCCAGACGGACCTTGCTAAACTTCCAAGATCTGACGAGATCGGGGTAGCCTGAGACATCTAGGGCAGGGCAGGGCGGTAGTGGTGGACGGTGCCGTCAAGCCACAGCCGACTTATGGCGACCCCATAGCAAGAGACGAACAGAAATGGTTTGCCATTGCCTGCCTCTGCATACAGACTTAGTTGGTGGTCTCCCGTCCAAGTACTGACCAGTGACGACCCTGCTTGCTGTCCCAGATCTGATGAGCCTGGGCTAGTCTGGGCCATCCACGTCAGGGCAAGGTGAGGCACATTACCAAAAATCCTATCTCTATCAATTTCTGAAAAAGCAAACCGAGTATTGATCTGCGCCATAATCCCAATGTTAACGTACACAAAAATAAATATGGTCACAGTCCATAGACATAGACATGCAAAAACAAACCCACAAGAACTGTGCCCAGTGCGCTCAATATTTCTTTAACAAAAATCATAAAGTTATGAATATGAAAAGTACAAAAGTAATAATGATACATTCAAGTTATAAATTCAGGTACATAAAGATAGAAGGTGACGACGACGGGACGGTAGTCTCCGGAATGCGATGCCGTTTTGACAGACGTCTTCTTCTAACCAATAGTCTACACGTTGATAATGTATGAAAAATTGCACTTCAGTGGAAAAGAACAGAGATGTTCTCCTCCATTACTTGTGCAGCGAAATAGGTGAAACTGTTATCGAACTCCGTGTGAATTGGGCAGCTTTTCCAGCATTCCGGAGACTACCGTCCCGTCGTCGTCACCTTCTATCTTTATGTACCTGAATTTATAACTTGAATGTATCATTATTACTTTTGTACTTTTCATATTCATAACTTTATGATTTTTGTTAAAGAAATATTGAGCGCACTGGGCACAGTTCTGGTGGGTTTGTTTTTGCATGTCTATGTCTATGGACTGTGGCCATATTTATTTTTGTGTACATTAGCAAGGTGAGGTACAAATAAATAAATAAATAAATAAATAAATAAATAAATAAATACACGAGGATATAGCTGAGATTTGCCTCCTGTAAACAGGGACCAGACCTGGGAAAAGTCAGGGGAAAAGCCTATCAGATTCATGTATTAATTTATTTACTTCATTTCTACCCTGCCTTTTCCCCCACTGGAGACCCAAAGCAGCTTGTATCGCTCTCCTCTCCTCCGTTTCATCCTGACAACCACCCTGTGAGGTAGGTTAGGCTGAGAGGGTGTGACTGGGCCCGAGGTCACCCAGCCAACGTCCATGGAAGAGTGCGCAGGATTCAGGCCTGGGCCTCCCAGACTATAGTCCTACACTGGAGCCACTACACCTCACTGGCTTCCTCTTATCGGAACTGCCTTGAGAGGGGCTGGCCTTGGGGAGAGGCGGGAATAAAGGCTATTGGAAGGCACAAATAATGAAAAGGGAGGGTCTGCCTGCCTGGCGGAAAGGTGTGTTTCCCCTGTTTATCACTAGAATTAAGAGGACAAACGCCTCTTTCTTGCTCTCCCCCACGGGTGGCGCATTTGCATATCTTCACTTTCCGTAAGTCAGTCTTGGTGTTCCATGGCCAAGGGCAGACGTCGATCTCAGCCAAATACAACATCCCTTCCACTATGCCCCACTGGCTCCCAAACGCCTGGAGAACAAATATAGCACACTTCCTGTTGACGTTTCTGCATTACCTAGCACCTGCCAAGGACCTCGCACTTGGAGCCGGAGGAATGACAACAGCAAAACTTTGTACTTATATGGAACTTAATGCAGCACTTCATGCATATTTAAAAAAAAAACAGCAATTCTTAAAACATCTCAGTAAGTTGGCATCACATAATGCTTAAAGGGGGGGAGGGTAGAATTGTGTCCCAAGACAATTCAGACCTATACCGAGAAAACCCAGGACCACTGATGTGCGTAAATTATGCAAATTGGGCAGATTTGCACCATTTCCCTTTTGTTCCATTTGTTCAGCAATGGTTACGACTTTAAACAGTTTATTTTGTTTTCAGGAGCCGTGGGGAGGGACACAACTAGGGTTGCCAAATGGCACCGGGGGGCGGGGAATCCCCCGCTTTGAGGGCCCGATTTTCGACACGACGAAAATTGGGCCCGGGGGAAACCCCACCCCCGCGTGCGCGTCACCCGGAAGTGACATCACACGTTGGGGGCGGGGCCATGTGGGGAAACTCTTTGTTTTCCCCTCAAATGGCCGTGGCCCCGCCCCCAGCGTGCGACGTCACTTCCGGGTGACGCGCACGCACGCGCGCACACCCAGACGCCGGCCAGGAGCCCCCCGCTCCCGGCCAAAAGAGATTTGGCAACCCTAGACAAAACACAGAGAGCATGGCCCAACAGGGATCTCATCTCTGGTGTGTGAAATTCCAACAGGCCTCGCCCTCAGCCTCCCGGTCACAAGGGCTAGGAACTTATTTTATCTGCATGAAAGCTGTGATTCACAGAAAGCTGGATTCTGCATCAAGTGGCACATTATGTACTGCTGCTTTCCCTTTCCTCCCATGGCACTGTAGTACAACCTTTCTCTCAAGGTAGGCTAGTATCTTCACATGTGTACTACAGACAGCAAATTGAGGCTGAGAGACGGCTGTCTGCCTAAAGTTGCCTAGGAAGTTTGGGGCAATGAAATCGGAGCCAAACTCTTCAGCTAGTTCCCCATCACTACAATAAGGGATTCCTAGAGATGGAGCCATTCTACCTGCAAAGAAAGCTAGGACTGGAAAGACCAGTGTTCCACAGAGGGGCTGCCGTGCCACCGAAAGACCCGTTCTTGTTGTATCAGGTGCAGTTCCTTTTCCTATTCTGCTTTCAACCAACTTGGAAAGTCTGAATTTTTCTTCCATAAGTAGGGAAGGAAAAAGGGGGAGAGAGAAGAAGAGGAGGAGAAAAGGCCCATAACGAATTTGCAAGCCAGCAATTCCCTCCGATCCAGCTGCCTTGGCAGCTTAACAGAGCATGTCCACATTCCAGACTGGAAACCAAAGCAGCTCCGCAAAAAGTTTGGATGGAAAATTGGGGGCAGGGAGGGGGAGGGAGAGAAGGAAGTTCCAGATCCGTGGCTGGGCAGATGCTTTGCCCAAAGAAGTTAATCAGTGCCCCTGCTGAAAGGTACCACAGGGTCAGCAAAAGGACATCAGGAGGGATTCAGGAAGAAAGGAAGGTTTAAAGGCAAGAGAAATCCTTTCACCACTTTGAGACCACTTTACTAATCAGCTACTGGAGCCAAAAGGGATTCCAAGCGTAGTTCAAATTTAAGAAACAAAATCAAGGTTGACTCTAATGGGGGGGGGATGTAAAACTATATTATGGATTTTTGTTTAGGACAC